ATCAGATATTGTATTCAACAGGCTCTTAGTCTCCTTTAGCCTCATGTTGGCCTGCAGATATTACCCTTGAGGGTGTGGTGTGACACTCCCTCTGCTGAGTTACCAGATCACACTCTGGGAAAGACAGACCCAGCAGTTTCCAACCCTGATTTTGTAACACTGCACGTGATCATTCACTTTTGCAAGGTATGTGGTAAAAGTCTCAAAAAAATTAGTTCCCTAAGCATTTTGGTAATATATATTAAATTTCTAAAAATATTTATACTCTCAGATTCATTTCTATGTTTGGGATTCTCTTCTAACTAATTGGAAATGTGAACAAAGTTGTGTGTGTAAAAATGTTCATCTTGGAAAAATTTATACTTAAAAGTTGAGAAAAATCTAAAACTAGTTTAAATAAGATACATACGTGGGAGATATTAGCCAGCCACTAACAGTTATATTTATGAGAGTATATAATAGTATACATTGTATAATTATGAAAACTTTTATTTTAAAAGTATTTTGGAAATTTTTTATTTTGATAAAATACATATAACCTGAACTTTACCGTTTCAGCCTTCTAAGTGTACAAGTAATGCACAAGTCAGTGACATAAAGTACATTCACAGTGTTGTACAGCCATCACCACTATCCATTTCCAGAACTTTTTCATCATCCTTAATAGAAGACCTGTGCCCACTAAAGAATAACTAGAAAACTTTATTTTTAAGACTTAAAGCATTTTAATTTAAAAATTATTCTGTAGGTCATATTAGGGAGATCAAAGGAAGGGGGAAGCGTAAAATGAAACGCTGAAAGGGACCAGAAAGATGGATTAACTTGAAATGAAGTCAGATGAAATGGAAGAAATGCTTTTTGTCATTTAAAATAGAAACACTGGAAAACCACAAGCATTGAAGCCCTGGACTCTGCCCCCAGTGTGGGTTGGGGTATGAGGTAGGTGTCTGCACTGCCTGGAATGCAGGCTGGCTGAAGGTGGTTGACTTCCTCTGCTGCCAGAAGTGTTAGGAGAAAGAACTATACAGTTCATCAGGAAGGCCTGTGTGCAGAGAGATGCAGGAAAAATTCCCTCAGAAGGGAGAGGCCATTTCCGTCAGCACCTCTCCTCACTGCATCTCTGACCCTTGGTGTCTTGCACAGCCTTCCCACCAGCCCCCATCCCAGGCTGTCCTGGATGCCTCTTGCTTATTGTCCTCCTATTCCTCTCTGTCATTCAGTGCAGCAGATCAGTTGAGTAAACATTTATTGAGCACCTCCTGCATACCAGTCACTGTGTGCTGTGCTGGAATACAAAGATACATAACCCAACTTATAATCCAACCAAGATCAATATAGTGGGGTCTGTGTAACAATAGAGATATGCACAGAGACTGGAACCTCACCTGGATTGAAGGTGTTGGGAAGGCTTCCTGGAGGGAGAAAAAGTTACTTGGGTGATAAAAGGCAGGACAGGCATTCCAGACAGGGGAAGCAGTCACATATCCCGTAAGAGAGTGGCTCAACCAAACATAATGTGCATGCCCTTCTTGTTCTCAAAAGTAATCCATCATCTTATTGTTTTTTGGTGGGTAGAGTCTAAGTCTTATTTCATTGTGTCTGCCGAGCCTAGCACAGTTCCTCCACATAGAAGAGGCTCAATACATGCTTGTTGAACTGATTTGAAATGAATGCTGTGATTTATCATTTATGGGCCAACTTTCAAATGACCTCGTTGTTAGGACATTTACATAGAGCAGGCATAGGACCCCAGAGTTATTTACCCCCTACACCATCCTAAACTTCTCCCTGTCTTGCAGCTTTTCCTTCTGTCTCTTCCACTCTGGGCCCTGGGAGGGCCTGATGAATATACCCTGACTTGCTTTAACCACATTATCTATTCCCCTTCCTAACTCTCTGTGTTACCAAAAACTCCCCTTCCTAGCCCTGGCCCCTTCTGGCCTGATATAATGTGGCAAAGCTAGAGACTGGTCTTGTTTTTAAAACCTTAATTGATCTCATGATGGCTGGGATAGCATAGAATAAGCTGGTCACTGCCTTAAGGCTGACTCAACAAAGGACATTGTCACAGAGATTGTATAGATGAGGTCTCCTGTACTGTAATCATAGCTGACATTTGTTGAGTGGTGCTTCCCATGTGCTAGGCACTGTTTTGTGTGCTTATATATATTAACCCGTTTAATCTCAACAACACTGTGGGTTAGGTACTGTTATCATCCCTGTTTTACAGATGAGACTTACGAGGCACATAAACATTAAATAACTTGCCCAAGGTCCTATACCTAATAAAGATAGAGCTGGGATTTAAGACTAGATTCTGGTTCCAGAGCCTGTACACTTATAATGCTATATCCAAACTTTCTCTTCTATGCCCATAAACCATCCTCATCCCATATTCCCAACAAAGAAGGCAGAGAGCTGGATCTTCATGGTGCAGTGTTTTTTGTTTTTCGTTTTTTATGTTTTGAGATGGAGTCTCACTCTGTTGTCCAGGCTGGAGTGCAGTGGCGTGATCTTGGCTCACTGCAACCTCTGCCTCCTGGGTTCAAGCAATTCTTCTGCCTCAGCGTCCCAAGGAGCTGGAACTACAGGCGCACACCACCACGTCTGGGTAATTTTTGTATTTTTAGTAGAGACGGGGTTTCATCATATTGGCCAGGCTGGTCTCAAACTCCTGACCTCGTGATCCGCCTGCCTCAGCCTCCCAAAGTGCTGGGATTACAGGCGTGAGCTACTGCACCCGGCCCCATGGTGCAGTGTTCTTAGATGTGTTCTTAGATGTGTAGGTGTATATTGGTCAGGGAAGTCTAAAGGTATCTGTCACCTGGGTCATGGTAAACCCTATTTCAATATTTCCATGTTGATTCTGACAGGATGAACAACCCTTACAATTAAGTCTTTCTAACTGAGTCTAGTAAACCTTTCTAATCATTATTTTTACCAGTGCCCACCATTATTAAATCTGATCATGATGCCTTAAAGAACCTGAGCTACCCATTTCACATGTTATATAGGAGAAATCAAACACTTGCCACTTTTCTCTTATCTATCCCCCCAGTTGGAGTGGCTTAGTCAGTCAAGCAAGACCATCTCAGAGATTGTCCTTGACATGGATATTCCATGACCGAAAGACGTGAGCAGTCGAACAGCTGAAGGCATCACATTAACAATAGTAGTCAGCCAGGCACATTCTTCCCATGCGCTAGGGACTGTTTTGTGTGCTTATATATTAACCCATTTAGTCTTAACTCATTTAACCTAATTAACCCATTTAATCTAATATTAACCCATTAATAGATGTCATATGCCTGTTTAATCTGCCAAGAACAAAGCCAAGGGCATTTCTTTCATATTCTCACTCCTTCATTCAATCATTTGCCCATTTGTCGGGGCTTATTGAGTGCTTGCTGTAGGTAAGCCAGGCAGAATTCTAGGTTTTGGTGATCTCGTGGTGAACAAGCCACAGCTCCAGCCCTCCTAGAGCTTCTGTCCTACTGGGGCAGGAGACAATCAATTTAAAAAAAAAAAAAAAAAAACAATAAGCAGGAGAGTGATGCGTGTAGTCAAGGAGGGTGTTTCTGAGGAGGTGACCTTTAAGCAAGAACTTGTGTGAAGTGGAGAAATGATCTTTATGTTTGCATTCATCTGCTCCTTCCCTCATTCAGCTGACAATGCAGTTTAACCGACAACACAGTGAGCGGCCTCACTGTGTTTGGTTGCTGCTGTGGGGAATGTTGGTGGTCGGGGGTGAGGGCTGGGCTGCTTGTGGTGGCTAACCACATAGGCACTGGGGGAAGCCATGTTTGTTCTTACACGGGCAGGAGTGTATACCAGCAGCATAGGGTGCAGGTTTAGGAAAACGCTAGGAAGCATAATCCAGAATAGTAGAGTTTGGGGTTCCTCCTCCCTTTTTGATCTTAAAAAAAATCTTACTAAGAAGAGTCATATGACAAATAAGAAAATATTCTCCTGAAACAAATGTATGAGAGAAACTTCCCTGAAAGCTCTTAAAGTATAGCACTTCATTAGAACAAATGGATAATCTAAATAAGAAAAATATCAGATTCCAACAAATGAGAAGCTATTTTACGTTCTTTTCAGAATACAGTATGTTTTAATAATGTAAAAAAATGAGTATTTCTGACATTCTTAAGTATTTGCAGGCTTTGTGCTCATCTTATGTGGAAAAAATTATTATTGTTCTCAGTACATAAGGGTTTGATTTGCAAAGGGACTACCATAAAAAATCTATTATAATGTTTTATAGCCATACCACTAGAGTAATCCTAATAACCCACCTCTGTACTGCACACTACAGTTTAGAGTGGTAGAGTGGTCCTATGTAATTGATCAAATTCTCACCACAACCCTATGAAGGTAGGTAATGGCTGGGTTGATGTTATCATTCTTAGTAATAGTCCTAGTGGTCATGGTGTTACCATCATCTGCATTTTACAGTTGAGGAAACTGACATTTAAGAACATAAGTAGTTTTCCCGGAATCTGTAAATTAAAATTCCCAAAGAGCAAACATAATTTTAAATTCTGATAGTGTGGCCTAATTAAATCTGATATTCAAGAATAAAAAATCTAATTGAGCATTTGTAAACCCCATTTCCTTCTCATCTGTCATTGTCAGGGGTGGGAGGTAGGCAGCAGTTAAGAAAATGTGGTTAATATTTCCAAACAGTGCAATGTTTTCCATTCTTCTTAGAATTATGTCTCCCTTTTGAAGGTCAATTTATTGTCTTTTTTATTTTCTTTTGGTCTTTATAGTAATTGATTTTATGGTATATGAAATGTTGGTGAAAAATGCTTAAAGGGTGGGAATTTCCTTGGAGCCAATTTTTTTCTCTTTGGGTACTTATTTGTTTGTTCTTGCCACAAGAATTTATTGTGTGCCAGGAACTGCACTAGATCCTGTCTCCGCTGCATTCACATTTCTTTGGTGGGCAAGAGTCTTACCTTGTGACTGACGTCTGGTTGTGTCTGCCCTCTCAGGTGGGGTGACTGCTCTCTGTTGGGACCCAGTCCAGCGGGTGTTGTTCTCAGGCAGTTCAGATCACTCTGTCATCATGTGGGACATCGGTGGGAGAAAAGGAACAGCCATCGAACTCCAAGGACACAAGTAAGGCTGCTGGTGCTTTCATAAAGACTCTCAGCTGACAACTAGAACAAAGGAGTGCAGCTCAGTCTCTATGGCAGGGTCTTAGCATGGGAAGGAACACGGTGGGAACACAAATACTGGCCACTTTGATTTATAACTGTGTAAAACTGTGTTTATATACTTATACCCCATTTTATTCCACAGAGCGTCTGAGAGTGCTTACAAAAACCATAAAATAAAGTAACAGCAGTGAATAAATAAAAGGTAAAAATTAGAACTGGGAAGAATATAGCAGTAAAACTTTGAGTGAGGAAAAAAAGAGCTTAAAAATACAAGCTCTGAAGGCTTAGAAAATTTATATAATTGAGTTCAAATGTGGCTTCAGGCTCCTTGGCAGCATACGGAAAAGAGAAGAGGTAAGATCCTTCACAGTACATTTTGTACTTGACCAAATATTTATTGAGTGCTTGCCTTGATTCATGTCAGGCTCTTCTTCCTCAAGGGATAGGTTTTAGGGGGCTGTAAGGAAGTACAGAGAAAGCCTTGCATTTCCTTGGAGCAGTTCTCAAACTTTGCTGGGCACAGAGAATCTCTGAGGAATTTGTGAAAAGATGCCCGGTCCCTGTCTGCTAAGATTCTGGTTGCCATCCAGAGCTGTGTGGGTCTGTGCTTTGACAAGCTTCCCAGGCACCTCCCCAGTGGTGACCCTCAGCCCACACCCAGAGACGCCCTGCTGTCCCTGGGGGCAAAGCCTAATCTTGTTGCATAAAAGAATGTTAGATCTGCTTTACAACTCTAGTGCTCATCTGAATTGTTTTTTGCTTGTTAAGTTTTCAAAACGATCTTGAACAACCCTTGACAGCCATAAACAATTGTGTGTAATGCTCCTATGAATTAACCAGTTTTAAGCAACATTAGCTTTTCCTGCAAATCTGCTTGGAAACCCTAGTTTTAAAATATTCTCCTAAATAGTTAAATCTAGTTTGGAATTGTTGGACATAAACTAATTAAATTTTGGAGGACCCGTGTACAAATAACTGTTTTAGTTTTAGAATTTAGTGTTAGAGAAATAGCTATTAAGCCCTTCTTTCTCATAGTGGAGAACAGAACAGCTGTCTGGGGTCACTCCTGGCTTGTGGGGCCACTCAGACCTTGTCATCAGTTCATTAGAGGAATCATTCCCTTATGTTTATCTTTATGACAAGAGAACACACATCCGTGTCCTGTAGAAAGAGTTCACATCATCCATGTAAGAGAAGGAAAAAGGAAACCAGGGCCAGGTGCGGTGGCTCACACCTGTAATCCCAGCACTTTGGGAGGCTGAGGCAGGTGGATCATGAGGTCAAGAGTTCAAGACCAGCCTGGCCAACATGGTGAAACCCTGTCTCTACTAAGAATACAGAAAGTAGCCAGGCGTAGTGGCCCGTGCCTGTAATCTCAGCTACTCGGGAGGCTGAGGCAGGACAATCACTTGAACCTGGGAGGTGGAGGTTGCGGTGAGCTGAGATTGCACCATTGCACTCCAGCCTGGGCAACAGAGCAAGACTCCGTCTCAAAAAAAAAGAAAAAAAAAAAAGAAGCCAAAGCACAGTTGTGTTTAATAACACTATTATCATCTAATCTACCACATAATTCCTGCCAACTTGGACTTTCTCAGAGAAGCGAAATGCAGGTTTTGAATGAAGATGACTAATATTTACTGGACTCATTCAGTTTAACTCCTAACTGGTTTTATGTGTACACAGTGGTTAATAAAGACTGCAAGCACTCTTGCACGATTTCATGCACCAGATGCTGAACTGCAGCAGTGCTTAACACTAGCATCACTGTGTGCAGAGGGCCCTTGACCTGAATGGAAAATGTGGGTCTGGGGAACTTACCCCTATAGTTTGTTAAGAAAGGAAAAACTATAAAGTTTAGATAAGTCTCTCAGTTCCAGAAAAACAAAACTTTAACAAATAGGTCTTCCCGTTTCTAAGTACAGACTTGTCCTTTTAGAAAATGGAATAAACCCTGCTTGGAGTTATGCTGATAGAATCGTGCCCTTAGAACTTGCACAGGTAAGCAGGCAGGCTGCTGAGATCAGGAGCCACTAGGCAGAAGTGGCTTTACACAGGATGGAGGGCAGAAGGCCTTTGCCCGGTGCTTTATTCAATTCAAGCTTAGTAATACGTAAAGTAAGCTCTATGAGGGACTTCTTGTCATCAGGTTTTAACCCCGGGGAGTGGTGGCTCTGGTGTCACAGAGCCAGGAGAGGAAACTTCCTCAGCATCAATCAGTGTCACTCTGTTAGAGTGATCTGAATGCCAGGGTGGGGATAGAGAAGCCTCTGGAGCCGCCGGAAGTAGTGAGATGGCATGGAAAGGTTTCGGGATCATCTGGCAGAAAAGGAGACCACTTTCAGGCAGGCAGGGAACAACTTTCGCAGCCGCCATTCCTTTATCCTGAAAGCCTGCTGCTGGCATCCAGTGATTCTCGTATTTGAGTAGCACCTAATATTTTGTGAAAGAACTTTCAAAACACACAGACTCCATTTAATCTTGGCAGTAACACTATAAAAGAGAGAGCTCAGAGACCATTTTTAGAAGAGAATAGTGAAGTATTCAATATTAATATTCACTATTAAGCCCCAGCTGATAGCTTAGATCTCTGAACCTTAACTGAGTCCAGCAGGGAGCTGCTTAGCACCTTTGATATATCCAGCCCTCAGTAAGGCACTGGGGATACTAAAGTGAACATTTATTGACTAACACATGGTCCCCAACATGCCCGGTGATGTTTGCTGATGCTTAGGCCTCAAGGCTGCCCTTTGCTTTCCTACAGTTCCTGGTTTTCCTTCCACCCCCAGAGTGACTGATGGTGGCCCGAGTTCCAAATCGGGGACATAACTGGTGAGCCTGGAAACCGGGGAGAGCAGACGGGCCTCCCCAGGACAGGGAGACTGCCTTTCCTTGGTATGGAAATGTCCAGCCATTCTGTTGAGGGACAGCTGCACATGTCTTCTGTTCTGAGTTCCACAGCTGCTTACCATCCTTCAGCAACAGAAAATGTGACATTTTTATAACTAGCTCGATTTGGTGTGTAAAAATCCCATAAAGCAGAGAACGCTTTAGCACCAAAGAAAGTGATTGATGACAGTGAAACTGTTTCCAAGTCCAAGGGAAAAAAGCTAAGAAAGTATTCTTTTATATGGTATTATCTGCATTGGAAGCATTCTGGTGTATTTATTCCCTGTAGCAAGTGGATCGTGATTGTGTGCTGTGCTAGCTCTGTGGGAGGAAGGGCAAAAAAAAAAAAAAAAAGGCTCCAGATTCCGGGACCAGTTATGTTTGCAAGCAGCAGTTACTAGTTGGATGATTGTTACCGAAACATAAACCTGGACACTTATTGTCCCATGCCTACCTTGTCATAGCTAATAACGGTACTTGGTCTTTTTAGATCCCTTTTAAATTCTTATATAATACTGTCATTTCATGACCAACTTCATGCCCATAATTTTTCTTTCTAGTAGTGTTTTCCTATCCTTCTAAGACTTGATGGTGATTTAATATAACCTGACTTGAAGCACCAATAAAGATCTTTGCTACTCCTCATATTGGAACCCTCTACCAAGACTGGATTCAGCGGCTTATGTGAGGCTAGGTCACAGTCAGGGCCCCTGGCACTTCCAGTCTGTGGATTTGCTTTTTCCTTCCAAAATCCAAGCTCTTGATTTCTCTCTTACTGCTCTTACCACGCATGAGAATTTTGTTATAAGAGTTCTCAAAACCTTTTGGTAAAGAAATAGGCCACTTGTAAATAAATATACATTGAGAGAATTTGTGCTTTTTCCCCTTGTATCGAGTAAATTGCATTGAAAGTTATAAAAGGAGTAGTATTCTTGCATTCAGCTTCTGGGTTAGGGGACAGGAGAACAAGGATCAGTACAAATGACAGCTTTCTTTCTGCTCAAATCTGTGAGATTTAAGAGCATTTCCCACTGTGGTGCTAGGGAACTGTTAGGATAGAGGGAAAGAGATGTCTTTTTTATTTCTAACTATTTAGCTAAACACATAATAGATCAAAATACCAGCCATGAGAGTTTTCATAGAAGGTAGAATCTTCTCAAAGACAGAAGGGCTGGAAAATGTGGTCATTAGTGTGCAGGCCTCTGAGTCGGGTCAAACTGTATTTGAACTGGCCCTTCTGCCAATGGCCTGCAGCCTCAGGCAAGGCACTGCACCTCTCTGATCTTCAGTTTTCTCATCTCTAAAATAAGGACAAAATTGGAAGGAAAAACCCTCACAAGGTTGTCAAAAAATATAAATGATGTAATGCATGTAAAATAATCAGCCCAGGAGTACAGGCCTGGTAAATGGCGGTTGTTAAGATTACTCTTGTTAATAAAAATTCCAAGTCAAAAATCCTGCCTTGGGATCTGACTACTGTTTCTCTTTGTAGAATTTCCTAAGGAAATATTAACATATATTCAAAACTCAGTCAACACGTGTTTACTGAGCTCCAGCTACATACCAGACTTTGTGTTAGATACTCAGGACACAAAAGTGAGTTAGGAAATAGCCCTGCCTTTGTGGAGATGTGCTACAGTCTCCACAAAGTATGAAAATAGGCAAAGGTGGCACCGTTCACCAATTTTACTGGAAAGTCAGAGGCCTCAGTGCGGGGGGGGTCACTCTTGGTTTGGATGTTAGATGAAGAGATTCTCATAGTTCTCAGGATTAGGAGGTTACCCAGAACAGAGAATAGCATGAACTAAAATACAGTGGGTTCAGGAAATACAAGTGGACAGAGGACGAGAGCCTAATCTAAACCTTCACCCTGCCACCAAACAGCAGAACATCACTGGTGCTCAAACCAGTGTCCCCAAACAGGGGTCCCTGAGTTCAGGTTTAGCCTGGCAGTGGGCCAAGGATCCCTGAGGAAGCAGATCCCTTTTAGGGTGCTTTGGCTTGGGATGACCCTACATAGTACTGTCTGGGAGACCTCACTCGCATGGATTGCTCACAGCCTTCTCTGGTCCT